ACTCAATTTGTGTAACCAAGCAATGACTTGGGAAGATGTAAGCCTATATGGCATTTAACTGGTTGTTTGTAACGCCCTCAAAATAATACATAAAACCCATCACTTTAGACATGCATTGATATAAAAGAAATCAACCATTTATATTCATCAGAGTAATTCTTACAACTGTATTACATGTTAACAACAAAAGCAAATGCCCTATGGGCTTACAGTTTTCCAAGTCAACACCTGGTTACACAAAAGAAGAATACTAACCCTATACAAAATAAGCCCTTGGCTTGATATACATGTAATACAAACAAAATAAACAACAAAAAAAAGAGTCTTCAACTCTCATCATCATCCAAGTTATGTCCTTGGAGGTGGCATACTACCTGTACCTGAAAATAATGTCCCATAAAGGGTGAGCCAACGCCCAGCAGAGATATGCTAAACACAGTATGAGCAATGACTAAGACATTAGCAATTGATAAATGTTCAATTTCCATAAACCAATTCATAACCCATTTTCATTTCATGACCACTATGTTCATGTTTCATTTCAATTTCCATTTCTTATCAATTTCACAATTTACATCAACGGCTCAGAACCTGGCCAACCACTTATATGAGACAGTGACTCATATTAAACATTTCCCATTTTTACAATAGATAAACATACTAGTTGTATCAACATCTCAACAGATAAGCATACAAGCTGTATCCACATTCCAACAGATATGCATATGAGCTATATCAACACTTCCAAAGATAAGCATATGAGCTGTATCAACACTTCCAATGACAAGCATATGAGCTGTATCAACACTTCCAATGACAAGCATATGAGCTGTATCAACACTTCCAATGACAAGCATATGAGCTGTATCAACACTTCCAATGACAAGCATATGAGCTGTATCAACACTTCCAATGACAAGCATATGAGCTGTATCAACACTTCCAATGACAAGCATATGAGCTGTATCAACACTTCCAATGACAAGCATATGAGCTGTATCAACACTTCCAATGACAAGCATATGAGCTGTATCAACACTTCCAATGACAAGCATATGAGCTGTATCAACACTTCCAATGACAAGCATATGAGCTGTATCAACACTTCCAATGACAAGCATATGAGCTGTATCAACACTTCCAATGACAAGCATATGAGCTGTATCAACACTTCCAATGACAAGCATATGAGCTGTATCAACACTTCCAATGACAAGCATATGAGCTGTATCAACACTTCCAATGACAAGCATATGAGCTGTATCAACACTTCCAATGACAAGCATATGAGCTGTATCAACACTTCCAATGACAAGCATATGAGCTGTATCAACACTTCCAATGACAAGCATATGAGCTGTATCAACACTTCCAATGACAAGCATATGAGCTGTATCAACACTTCCAATGACAAGCATATGAGCTGTATCAACACTTCCAATGACAAGCATATGAGCTGTATCAACACTTCCAATGACAAGCATATGAGCTGTATCAACACTTCCAATGACAAGCATATGAGCTGTATCAACACTTCCAATGACAAGCATATGAGCTGTATCAACACTTCCAATGACAAGCATATGAGCTGTATCAACACTTCCAATGACAAGCATATGAGCTGTATCAACACTTCCAATGACAAGCATATGAGCTGTATCAACACTTCCAATGACAAGCATATGAGCTGTATCAACACTTCCAATGACAAGCATATGAGCTGTATCAACACTTCCAATGACAAGCATATGAGCTGTATCAACACTTCCAATGACAAGCATATGAGCTGTATCAACACTTCCAATGACAAGCATCCTAAAGTCCCACCTTTTTAGCTACTAAAATTTTAGTCGGCAAAGAGTTCTTTTTTGGCTACTAAAAATTTAGTCGCCGAAAGTCCCCATCTTTGGCTACTAAATGTTTAGTCGGCAAAGAGTTCCTCTTTTGGCTACTAAATATTTAGTCGCTTAAAATTCTATATTTTTGGCTACTAATATTTTAGTCGGCAAAAGTGTGTTTATAATTTAGTTTTTGGTTTTTCGCTACGAAATATTTTAGTCGCCAAATGTTTGATTTTCTTTTGGCTACTAAAGTTTTAGTCGCCAAATGTCTTTTTTTTTTTTGGCTACAAAACTTTTAATCGCCAAATGTCTTTTCCCAATTTCTTTTTAGCTACTAATTGTTTAGTCGCCAAAAATATGATATTATGTTTTATTGTGAAATTATAATTTCTCCACAACCTATCTATATACAATGCAACCTGTAATACGTATAAAAACAAAATGATACATACTATCAACCATTCCACAATCTGCATCCATATACCAAAAATAAATGACATTAAATATCAAAGTCCATACAAATCAACTATTGTCCAAATTAAAATAATAATTCCATATAAATATATCATACAAAAATCAAAACCCTTCGTATACAAAAAAATACATTTACGTCCAAGCAAAATTACCATTTGGCATGGTACAAATTACCATCGTAATCTATACCACAACAAAAGGTGATATATGTACCACAACAAAAGTTTTCTATGAACCATGACAAAACGTCCTATATGTACGCCAACAAATGGTATATACGTACCACGACAAAAGGTGATCTATGTATCACGACAGTCATTATCTGTTGATTGACAAAAGTTTTCTGTATCAGTAATAATGAACTACACAAAAGCTGAGGACGACAAAAGTATTATATTAGTTCTACACAAAAGTGAAAATTCTTCTCCATGCACCAATATGCATTATCCACAAGTCCACGCAACCAAGCCATCTACAAAGAAAAATGAAAAATGAAAAATTAGAATTGGTTACAAAATATCAATTCAGTTAGCCATATGGAACATGTTCTAACATGCATTTAAGGTAGAACAATCGAGAAATGCCTTCTTGGAAATAAAAGAAAGAATATATGTATATATATGTATCATGCAATATTTATTCCAACCAACTGCACAAACAATGTAATATGTAATTTCTTCATCCTATAAATATATAAAGGCAATTATTAGAATATGTAGATGTTATTTTAATAAAGTTGTTGCTTTTTTAACTAAGTTTTGCAAGTTTTTCGACTAAATGTAAGGCGTATTCGGGAGGCTGTTATGAATTTTCGCCCCCCGGAAAGCCCTTTTTCAAGTAAGTTTAGGGCGTATTCGGCTCTAACTTCCAACCTAGGGGTCCGAATTACGTTCCGTCAGATTTCACAAGTCCTATTTGTCATAGCGAAGCTATCCGTGTGAGCCACACGGTCGTTCGGGGGTTGTTTTGAATTTTTGCCTGCAAAAAGTCCTTTTTCAACTAAGTTTAGGGCGTATTCGACTCTAACTCCCAACCTACAGGTTCGAATTATGTTCCGTCAGTTCTCACAAGTCCTATTTTTCATGGGGGAACTATTCGTGTGAGCCACACGGTGGTTTGGGGGCTGTTTTGAATTTTCACCCCCGAAACGCCCTTTTTCGGCTAAGTTTAGGGCGTATTCGGCTCTAACTCCCAACCTACAGGTCCGAATTACGTTCCGTCAGTTCTCACAAGTCCTATTTGTCATAGGGGGGAACTATTCGTGTGAGCCACACAGTGGTTCAGGGGCTGTTACAAATTTTTGCCCCTGGAAAGTCCTTTTTCGACTAAGTTTAGGGCGTATTTGGCTCTAACTCCCAACCTACGGGTCCGGATTACGTTCCGTCAGTTCTCACAAGTCCTATTTGTCATGAGGGAACTGTCTGTGTGAGCCACACAGTTGTTTGGGGACTGTTTTGAATTTTCGCCCCCGAAACGCCCTTTTTCGACTAAGTTTAGGGCGTATTCGGCTCTAACTCCCAACCTACGGGTCCGAATTACGTTCCGTCAGTTCTCACAAGTCCTATTTGTCATGGCGAAGCTATCCGTGTGAGCCACATGGTAGTTCGGGGGCTATTTTGAATTTTCGCCCCCGGAAATCCCTTTTTCGACTAAGTTTAAGGCTTATTCGACTTTAACTCCCAACCTACAGGTCCGAATTACATTCCATCAGTTGTCACAACTCCTATTTGTCATGGGGAAGCTGTCCGTGAGAGCCACACGGTGGTTTGGGGGCTGTTTTGAATTTTCTCTCTCGAAAGCTCATCTGCCAGTAATGTTGATTTCAAGTTCCACAACAAAAACTCATCTCTAAACCATAAGGATGCTCGACCTCCTAATACTTACATGGCTATGATTAATAACAAAAAATTACCAAAAAGATGTATAATTATCTACACAAAAATAAGGAAAATCATAGTGGCACTTATAATGGAGAGGGGAAATGCTAGCGTCTGTTCTATAAGTTGGGACACCAAACTCCTGACAGCTTTTAACAGTGTAAGGAGACTAAATGGGAAAACAAAATTTTCTTTCTTAATGTTAACCAGGGATAAGAAAATCATCTTAGAAATAACCCCTACATAAGTTCATTCAACATCACTATATCTTCTTAGAAATGTAATCAGAAACGGACATAGGTGCACATGCATGTTGCTAGTTTAAGAGAAATTTGCACAGTTGTACTACCAAAATTTATAAAATAGACATTAAATAGTTACAACAACTTGCCTTTCAACATCACCCCCGAATGCCTTTTTCCGACTAAGTTTATGACATTTGCAACTCAAAGGTATTTTTTGGTATTGTTTGTTAGGATTCAAGAATTAAAGAAAGAAAGCAATATGTGTCATGCTTATCACTGTCTCCTCCAATTTCTCAAAGCCCTCATCTTGTTTTGCTTTCAAGGCATAAGAATCCATGATATAGAAGCCAAACAAAATATTAAAAAAAAAATGATTCTAAAGAAGTTACAACAACTTGCCTTTCATTATTTGTCTTTGAAGACCAACAATGCCGTAGTTATCCAAGCCACTTGCCCTACTCATAGCATCAGCTGGCTTAATTTCTGGCGCAAGCAAGCTGTCAGGCAGAAAATAATAATTCCTTCCTGGTTATAATCAAAATCAGCATGACCAAAACTAGCATTTAAACAAAGAAAATAAGAAAAATGTATCCAGTGGAAAATGTGGTTAAGCTCACCTGTTCTGCAATGAATTTAACACCTCCATGATTGACCATTTCATAAGTTTCACCAAGAATTGGATTAAATGGCTTCCAGGTTCGTCGGCAGGCATAATAGATTGTTATAAAGAAGGATGCTGAAATGGAGAACCTTAAGTTTCACAACAGAAAATGCACACTCACACTCGCACAGAGAGAGAGAGAGAGAGAGAGAGAGAGCATAATGGTACTTACAAGAATAAACCAATCGCATGTAGGGATCCTCACATTCATCTGCTAAATCCATAAGGTAGGAGTATTCCATCAACTATTACAAACATTTCACAATTGGTGATATTCAACAAGAAAAGCATCATCAAATATAACAAAGACATCAGTATGGTACAAAAACATAAACCTCTACCATTTTTTGAAGCGTTGACATTGGCTCAAAAATGATAACTGGGAGTGTCACCATTGATGTGACGTCAGAACCTATATATTTCTGCATCATCTTCCAATAACTGTCCCGATCCTATGAAACACAAGAAAAGAAAGAAAGTTGTCAATAGAGAGATATGCCTTTATTTCTGTTAAGAGACAGAAAGAGAGATTTACTAAGCATTACTTATGGACAATAAGACACGTCAACAAGACATGCTAGAATCACAAGACATCAGTTTTTGTCAATAAATACAAATTTTCTGTCATACACCACATTTGAGGATCAGAACCCACATAGACACATACATAATGCATTCAACATGATGCCTAATGGCCTTGAACTATACCTTGTAATCCTGTTGAATTTTTTCAACCTATATAAGAGCCTACTGAAATACATTAAAAAAATCATGACATAGCAGAATCTTATCACCATAGGGCATAGGGGTAGTAGTAGCATGTGAGTCCTCTCATTCATTTGCTTGGTGTCGACACCCCATTTTTGACCGTCCTCAAGACTTGGACGTCACCGTTTGAACGCTCGGTGATCATCCATGTTTGTGTTCGTTTGGAGTTCCCGGAGGTCTCGGCTACGCGCCTTGCCTCAGGATCTCCGAACTCGACTGTTTAGTGTCTGGTTTTGCACCAAACACTTGTGTTTTGCCTTGGAGGGGCAGCGAATGCCTTGTGAGGCATCCCCACACACCACCGGCCATGGCCAGAGGCCACCGGCTGGTGTTTTGTTGCCATCGGCAATGTGTACTGCCGGTCAGCACTATTTGTTGCCAGTCGACAGTCCATTTTGTCAAAATGGCATTTCTGAGCAGCCGACTACTGTTCATCTGCTTTTGCAGATATTTTAATACAGTTGTCTTGCATTTGGCTCCCCTCCATACGTGTATGGAGGGATCTCTCTCTTTAGAAGCTTGTCTTGTAAGCTTTACAAGACAAGAAGCTCTATAAGAGGAGCTCTCCTCTCCCTTGTTTTAGGGTTAGAAAATTTAGACAGCCATATTAGGGTTTTGAGTTCTAGGGTTAGGATTGATACACATTCTATCTCTATACCTCTCTCTCATTTGGCCTTTGTGTGTGTCTAGGTGCATTTGTGTCTTACTATTGCACACAAACACATAGTGTTACACCTTCCATTGGCTACTGAGGTTCTAAGAGGTTGTTCTTGGTGTTCTTGGGTGGTTTTGAGCTTGAAGAACCAGCTGATCCACCATTTTTGAAGAAAGTTTTCAAGGGTAAGAAACTAGCCCTTTTATTCCCCTTTTTTGCATTGTACTTTTACCTATCTTAGAACTATTTTTGTGCTTAGTGTATAACATAAAAAAGTTCTGTTTTTGGGCCCTCTAAATAGTTTGTTTAGAGTGTTTTGTGGTTTGGAGGTGTTTGACCCTTCTTAGGCCTTGAGAGGCCCCATTTTGTGCTATTTTGAGTGAGCTCCGGGACCTTGGTGTTTGGGCCTCCTCACCACTGAAATCTTGAGGGATTTCAGAGGTGGGGATGGTGCCTTGAGGTCCTATGGAGGAGAGGGCCACCCCCTCTCCTTGTTGTCCTTGAAAAGGACCATTTTTGGCCTCTTGAGGGAGCACCTAGCTAAGCTTTCATGTTGACCATATGCCTTGCGCTGATTTTGTGCTTATTATGTTCTATAATATGCCTCTGTTTTTTGTGTTTTGGTTACACCATGCATACTTAGCATACCTACCTTGTAATGCCATGTTAGCATTAACATGCTCTTAGGTTGAACCGTTAGTTGCAATGCATGTTTTAGGTCTAGCTTTGTGAAGCTTTTGTGCTTATTTTGCCATGCTAGAGGTCTGTCCATAGTTGTTTGGGTCGGCCATGGCATGCATTGTATAGCCCCTTTGCATTTTTGACTTGCTGGCCTTAAGTGTGTGAATGTGTAGCATGCATCCTTGCCTTAATTTAGTGATTTGGGACCATTTGCCATGTTATTTCAGTCCCTTTAACATGCTTGTATGCTTGCCTTGGATGCCTCTTTGAAGCTTTGGAAGCTTGTCTTGCATGCTCCATGTTTCGGCATTAGTGCATGCCTTTGAATTTAGGTCATTTGGACGCCATCTAAGTGATCTTTAGGCCTTGTCTTAACATGCTAAAATTCTGTTTTTAGTCATTTAATTCATGCCATGTTTGGTCTTGCTAAGTGTAGTTCAATACTTCATTAGTTTGCTTTGTGCATTAGACCTATTTTAAGTCCTCTTAGCCTTGTAAGGTTCGGTTGATTTAGTCTTGGTTTAAGCCTCTAGGCTTGCCTTGGGTTTTTGGCTTTGTTCGCATGCCTTGTTTGTCTTGTTTAATTGGCTTAACACCCTTTGTAACATGATTTCCAATTCTTACCTTGCATGCCATTAGTCCATGATATGCCATTTTCAAATGCGCTTGAGAGTTGCTTCATTTGTGCTTAAGTGTTGGCCCTTTAACATGTGCATGTGTGTATGTGTATTTAGTCCTTTACTTTGGTCACTTTGGCCACTATTTTAGGCCTATTTAGAGTTGCCTAAATCATGTATAAGTCCACCTTTTCATCAATTTGCATTGCCTCATGTTTGCTTGTATGCTTACATAAGTGTCTCGCCATGACATTCCCTCTCTTAGCTTGCGTTGCATGCTTACTCTATATATCGTCACATGCTTGGTCCTATCTGTATGATGTTGCGTGCCTTGCATATTTGTACATTTAGGTCACATCTCACATGCTTGATATTAACATGCTTACCTCATGTCTTGCATGATTGTTGTCTATGCCTTGCATGATTGATGTATGTTTCGCATTGCTTGTTTGCATGCTCATATTGCATACTAGCTCCTATGCTTAGGATTGCATTGCATTGGCATGCATACTTCACCTCTTGACCAAGTCATGATGGAGGTAGAAGCCTCTTGGTTCGATTGTTGGTTTGCATTGCATTTGACGTCAAAATGTGCATAAATTGGTCCCTTGGGCCATCACGCATTGAAATGCGTGATTGTTGGTCCGAGAACCAAGAAGCGTGTCCCCTTGAATCACTAACATGATAAGGGACATGATTGGTGCATACATTGCTTGAATTGTATTGCCATGCTCTGCCTTGCCCTCTGTTGCTGTCAATTGCAGATTCTGCAGGAGCTCTCTGCCGACCAGCAGTGCTAAGTGCCGACCGGTAATCCTCCCTCTGCCGATGGCTTCACCAATGGCCGGTGACCACATACCAGTGCCAGTGGCAATCCTACCCAGCCGGTGATGTCCCCCAATGTCCAGGGAAGCAATCCTGAGACTGTGGAAGTCTCCAGAGGAGTATATCATGGAAAACAGAGGCAGCCTATGCATGGCAGTGTACTTTCCGAGCAAAGACCGAGCACGCATTGCATCGAGCTCTCTTCTCGAGGCGGTTTACTGTTTTTCCTAGCTTAGTTAGTTTGTTAACTAATTAGTGTTTTGTAATATTTATTCGGACCCTCCGAGTGAGGGCAATTGTGTAATAAGTGTGTGTGAGTGTGTGTATGTCTTCCAACCTCACTTCCTTTCTCCCTTTTACTTACCTGCTTTCGATGGTTAGTATTAGGGCATATTTAATTTAGCATACCTTATGCTATGCATGTGTGCATCCATACATTTGTCTTGCATGCACCGGGCTCAGTACATCATGCTAACCGCATTCGTACTTTAATTCCAAATTGAATACGTACATCAACTAACTACATTTCACATGCCATGCTTAGGTTAGCCGAGCCTATTCTAAGTGCATCCTGTATGTGTTGCATTAGACAATTTGACATGAACTAGGACCATGCATGTTGGCTAACTAGTTTCTGTTTTGGCACGGAGTACGATGTAAGTGTTTATGCTTTAGCATCTCGCATGAATGTGAATGCTATCATGACAGCATGCTTACCATGTGGCTAGATGCTTATGTGATTAAACTGTTTTAATGCCTGTGGGTGAAGGTTGGATTGTCTGAGTTGGAAAAACTCGTTGAAATCTGTATTTTAGCCTACTTGCGAGTAGCAAATTTCAAAATGTTTTTCAAGACAAACGGATATGCAATGTTTATTTCCAAATTAGGCAATCTAGTCTATACTTGTGTGCTGTGCGCATAACATAGTAATTCTAGGCTAATAAACGGAATGAGAACACATAACATTTTCAAAATTGGATATCACGGTTAGTAGAGGCCGGTCTTCAAACCGGGCGAGAGGGGGTGCTCATAGCTGACCTTCCCCGATCGTACCCCAGTTCCCGAGCCAAGGCAACTTTGGTGATGCCAGACACGTGGCCTTCGGCACCGAGTCAGGGTTTCCTAAATTCCCCCATTTTAAAATATTTAGGTGGCAACTCTGTATCTAGCAAAGCAGTCCATATTTGGCACTTCTTTTCAAAAAAATCTATTTCTCAAAACGATTTGCCGGATTTGGACTCTTTGGTTCAGATTAAGAACCGTGACAACAAATCGAGTCCGAACTGTAGCATGAGGCCCACGCGGGCGCGTCTACACTTGGTCCACTGAATAATTTGAAGACAAGAAGATACACAGTGAGAACAACTCGGAAAGAGCCATGCTAAGCCAATTGTACACTGAGAGCATCTTCAAATAGAGAAAATTATAGCATGGTAGAAATGAAATTTTTTTCAGTTGTAAACATCATCACAATTCAAAATTAATAATCTATAATTAAAACTTATCCTATCCCATTTTTTAATTTAAAATATAAATTTAGTAAGATAAATATTTCATCATCATTGATTATGAAACAAAGATCTTCATTGTATTTATAAAACTGATAGCATCAGAATCCATTTAAGATCATGACAGAAATTCAATAACTAAATGAAGGATTAATAATGAACAATATATATATAGGTCCAGTGGGAAAGCATATCCATATTATACGTTCAAAAAGAAATGTTCATAATGCCAAAAGCAATTCATATATCACATAACATCAAAGCCAACCAATAGGGAAGGGTTTATTTTTGTTTGTTTTTATCTTTTATTTATTTTTTGTTGGGACCCTTTAATAATGTGACATTCCCATTGTTGATCCATCTCCAAGCTGAGCAGCTTTTCATTAGATACAAGCAAAGCAACCCACTATCTCATGCACACACACACTTGGAGTTTTCAAAAATAATTTTTAACTCCTATTTTTTTGGATTTTAGTATTTTTTTTAAAAAAAATTAATCAAATTCTTTTAATTTTTATTTAGATGCATTTTAAAAGTTTAAAAAAATGTTAAAAATTCTTTTAAAAATTTACTAAATACAAAAATTCAGTACATTTTCGTATTTTTTATTTTATTTATTGAATTCTTTTTAGATTACTTCACAAATATTTTATTTTTTAACTACATTAGAATTAAAAAAAAACTTTGTTTCATAACTTGAACGGAAAAAAAATAATGATAAACATTCAGTCATGCAAGGCAATCATGAACTAATTAATTGCATAGAATGAGAGGCTGGGTATTCAAAGTTGCATATTCTTATCCCTTCTTCAATTTGAAAACTACATTTAAATGCATCAATTGAATGAAGAATAACTACCCAAGCATATCTTCAAGTAATGCTCCCATGGAAGGCATTGTTTTGTTTCATGCATGTATCAGCTGATATTAGTATAGGCAAGAGATGTAATGGAAAACATCACATTACCATCTAATGCCTCCCAAAGAGACTTACTTCAACTTGAATCAAATTTGTATTAGGAATATGGATTAAAGAGAGAAAGAAGAGCATCCTAATTAAAATTCCTTCAACTTCAACCTCCAATGTTGGATTGCTTCACATATCAAACACGTGAGCATTGTCCAGTTTCGTTTGAACATTTCGTCAAACACATGATGAGCAAAAGGGTCAGAAGACAACAACAAATACAAGCATGGACGAATATTGTTTGAACATTTTTTCAGGTACATGGTGAGCAAGAGGGTGAAAAACAACAACAATTACAAGCATAGACCAAACAATAGTAATACATACACTAAGAAATTACATAAATCAAAACAACAATTACCCTAAGAAATTACATGTTCCTTCAATCATTGGTTCATTGATTTCACATAAATCAAAACCCTACACCATAAAAAAACAAACCCTGGATGTAGAGTGAAATGGGGAAATAGAGAAAGAGAGACAGAAAAACAGAACCGAGAGATAGAGAGAGTAAGAGAAATAGAGAGAGGAAGATAAAAACCTCAATGTCGAAGCAATGCAATGCGAGGAGCTGCGAGGCGAGCAACGGCGGTGGCGGTGTGCGATGGTGGAAGATCGACAGTGAACGATGGTGGAAGATCAACGGTGAGCGATGGGGGCTAAAGTGATGGTGAGTCGTCCCTGAGGGAGAGGGAGAGCAAGAGTTAAGAGTCTTCTGGGTTTGGTTTGGGTGGATTGATAAAAACAAATATGTATGAAAAGAAAAGGTCAAAATGAATTGCCTCCAAATTTGAAAAACTTTCCCCCAAAAAAATCTGTTATCAATGCCGACCAAACAAAGTTTTTGTCGCCAATTGTAGCAGTTTTGGTGACTGAAAATATTTTCGTCACCAAAAAATAATATTCACCGGCTAAATTATTTTTTTGTCACGAAAAAATAATTTTTTTATTTTTCATTCGGCGACTAAATATTTTAGTAGCCAAAAATGAATATACAGTGACTAAATTTTTTTTTGTCGCTGAAAGTAAGTTTTTGGCGACTAAAAGTTTAGTCGCCAAAGAGGAAAAATAATTTTTTTATTTTCCATTCGGCGACTAAATATTTTAGTAGCCAAAAGTTAATATACAGTGACTATTTTTTTTTTTTGTCACTGAAAGTAACATTTTGGCGACTAAAACTTTAGTCGCCAAAGAGAAAAAATAGTTTTTTTATTTCCCATTCGACAACTAAATATTTTAGTAGCCAAAAGTTAATATATAACGACTAATTTTTTTTTTGTCGCCAATTCTGGTATTTTTAGCGACTAAATTTTTTTTTAGTCGCCAATAATGAATATACCCCGACTAAAAAAAATTAGTAACTAAATATTTTACTCTTGGCGACTAAAAAAAAGGTTAGTCACCAATTTTGGTTGCCAAAGGTGTATGTTTTTGTAGTGATGGCACTCTAACTATGTTTCTCTCTCTCTCTGTCATTATCTTCAATGTTAATGTTACCTGAAATGTTGTTTCTATGATTATCTCGTCGACTCTCACTCTTTCTTTCCTTGTCATTATTAGTGAATTAGACAACAATGTTATTGTTACCAACTTCAATTAATCATGCCTTTTGGTCCACTAAAACACAACCATCATCATCGACTTAGACCACTATAATAGTATTGTTGCCGCTATTAATCACTTTGACACATTTATGACTCTAGCACATACCACTATTAACCCTTGCCTATTATTTCGTAGTAAGTCACTACTTTTTTACCTTCACTACTTTTTAAAAATAAAAAATTGTACTTTCATTCTTAGATATATATTATTTCTCGTTGTACCCACCTTAGTCCCTATATTATTTGTCTTTTCTTACTTTGGTCCAATTGCTAACTTCTAAGGGTAACTTTAGAATTTTAAAAAATGAACTTTCCTACTTTCACTACAACAAAAAAGGTCTATGGTGACAAAAACACATGATGCAAAAATATTGTCTCCAAATATACATGTTTTAGTGATGAAAATAAGATTTCGCCTCCAATTGTACTATTTTTAGAGATGAAAACTAAATTTTGTCACCAAATGCTTAAAATCAAATAAAACAATAGTTGATGAAAATTTTATTTTTCATCATAAAACAATTTCCCACCCTTGGAAAATTTGGCAGAAGATTTGGCACCATTTCGAAGACGAAATTTTTCGTCACCGTTGTAAAAAATTTTAGAGAGGAAATAATTTCATCTCCAAATGTATTATTTTTAAAGAGGAATACCAAATTTTGTCACCAAATGCTTAAAATCAATAAAAAATAAAATTGAACCAAGAGATAGATATATCTCTCTGTTTAGATGCATCTATTTTACTTTCTATATCTCTCTCTGTCACTCCCTCACCTATCCATCTTCGTCACACCGTTCGTCTATTTTTGTCACACCGGCTAACCCGCACGTCACCGGCCGGCGCTCGCTACAACAAGTATCTCTCTCTCTCTCTCTCTCTCTCTCTCTCTCTCTCTCTCTCTCTCTATGTGTGTGTGTTTTCGCCTCACTCTCTCTCCCCCTACCCTCTTCTCGCTTTTCCGAGCTCCCTCTCCTCTCTTCTCGCTTTTCTGACCTCCATCTCTCCTCTTCTCTATCTCGCTATCCCCATTCTCGTCTCTTACTTTCTTAACTCATTTTTCCCCAATTTGAACCCTAATTTGTTGGATGAAACCATGTTTGCTGAGTAGATCTTGAGCTGATGATCTTAAGTTGTGTAAATTTCACAAGGTCAAGATTGTTTTCTTTATATCTAATGTTGTTATCTTGTTAGTTTTTTTTTCTTGTGAACTCGAATTTTGCTTGGTTTGTTGTTTTGTTGTTTTGTTGTAGCTGTATTGTGTCAAAATGTTAGTTATTTGATTTATTTTCTTTGGTTTTTGTTATATTTGCTCTCAATTGTTGGTTGGCTATAATCTTCAAGATAGTGGTGGTGTCCTTCCCACAGGTCATTGGTGGTGATAATATTCAAGAGTGTGGTGTATTGCCCATAGGGCCACTCACTTGGGTTACAAAGGACGGCTTCCCTTTCCTGGTAAATATAATCTTGTTTTTGCACATTTTTCAGCTTCATTTGAATTTGGTTTTAAAAATTTCTCACTATAACATGTTTACAGGATTCATTCATTCTGTCCAACTATTTCTCAATTATAGAATCATGAATTTTCTTCTTCTTCTTCTTCTTTTTTCTTTTTTTTTTTTTTTTTGGTTTCCCTTCACAATAGCTTGTAGCGAAATAGTACATGAGATGGGATTGAATGGAAGTTGGACATGGTTTTACTATCGACTATTTCCTTCTTTATTGTCAATATAATTATATAAGTCGTTACTTATTTGCTCCTATATTTGGAGCCTATATTTTTCCTTCACGTACTTTACATCTTATTATTCTGACGGGTGATTGTATATCTCTCAGATAGATATTTTTTCTTTCAGTTAATTATTGTTCTCAATAATTTTTTTCGTGTCTTGGATCTAATGTTTGGCAACATACAGGCCCAGCGCATTGTCGATAAGGATGGAAAGATGTTGGTTCCTATACCTAAATAGTTTCGTGCACCAATAGGCGATCAAGCCTCTAAGCTGGCCTCTAGGATTGGTATAGAGGTTCAAACACAGTTACCAGACCTAAGCGTTCGTAGGTGGAAAAAGGTGAACAATGCTGATAAGGAGCCGATGATCCAACGGTGAACTCGAATTTTGCTTGGTTTGTTGTTTTGTTGTTTTGTTGTAGCTGTATTGTGTCAAAATGTTAGTTATTTGATTTATTTTCTTTGGTTTTTGTTATATTTGCTCTCAATTGTTGGTTGGCTATAATCTTCAAGATAGTGGTGGTGTCCTTCCCACAGGTCATTGGTGGTGATAATATTCAAGAGTGTGGTGTATTGCCCATAGGGCCACTCACTTGGGTTACAAAGGACGGCTTCCCTTTCCTGGTAAATATAATCTTGTTTTTGCACATTTTTCAGCTTCATTTGAATTTGGTTTTAAAAATTTCTCACTATAACATGTTTACAGGATTCATTCATTCTGTCCAACTATTTCTCAATTATAGAATCATGAATTTTCTTCTTCTTCTTCTTCTTTTTTCTTTTTTTTTTTTTTTTTGGGTTTCCCTTCACAATAGCTTGTAGCGAAATAGTACATGAGATGGGATTGAATGGAAGTCGGACATGGTTTTACTATCGACTATTTCCTTCTTTACTCTCAATATAATTATATAAGTCGATACTTATTTGCTCCTATATTCGGAGCCTATATTTTTCCTTCACGTACTTTACATCTTATTATTCTGATTGGTGATTGTATATCTCTCAGATAGATATTTTTTCTTTCAGTTAATTATTGTTCTCAATAATTTTTTTCGTGTCTTGGATCTAACGTTTGGCAACATACAGGCCCAGCGCATTGTCGATAATGATGGAAAGATGTTGGTTCCTATACCTAAATAGTTTCGTGCACCAATAGGCGATCAAGCCTCTAAGCTGGCCTCCAGGATTGGTATAGAGGTTCAAACACAGTTATCAGACCTAAGCATTCGTAGGTGGAAAAAGGTGAACAATGCTGATAAGGAGCCGATGATCCAACGTTTGGTTGTAATTATTGTCAAACTCTTATCTTTGAAGTTGTAGCATTGTTTGATTTCTTTGTTATCTCTCATCTAATGGCCTCTTCTCTGTCCATTCTACTTGGGACCTGTTTAGAGTTTATAAGCCTAGAGTGACTTGGCATAGGCTCATTTGGTTTAAGTTCCACATCCCTAGATTTAGTACTGTGGTAAAAGCAACAACAAGAAATAATAGATCTGGAAACATATTTGTTTTGAAAATTCATGTTTAATTTGATGATGATGAAGATGGTATTTGTGTTTTGGGTGTTGTTGTGACTATATGTTTTGTGGGTTTGTGTTCTTTGGATCTATTTTTGGAGTAAAGAAACAATTATGTTTTACTTTCTAATTTTGTGTTGGCTATTGACATGTGATTATATATATAAATCTAGTCCTTCGGTATTTTAAAATAGCCATTTCCTAAGAAAAGTTGAAACCCAGCTTGCTAAGATCCTTGAAACTAGGTTTTAATTGAACTTTTAGCAAAAACCTTGTTTTGTTTAAGGTTGTTGTCAGGGCTTGAATCATTTGAATGCATCCTACATCATAGCTATTACATGGGAAACAATTCTAGGTGGAAATAGTATTTTAAAAAAGTAAAATTCTGAATTATCAGGTTATAAGCCTTACAAATGATTCTAGGATTAAATATGTTGCAAGTTACATTGATTCATTCAAATAAACTCCATATTAGGAGATTATATTTATACATACCAATGACTTGATTATGACACAAACCAAAACATGATCATCCAAACTGATAGTGTTGAATTGACCCGTAGTTTCAACAATTTGGACTCTTTCGTTGGACCTATAAGCTTTGAATATGATCGATGCACAATGGCAACTTGATATTGAGGAATGATGTTATGTGCTCATGGTGTATTGTCACTTGATTTGGTGAGTTGGAATAATGCCTTCACAAGTGTCAAATGCATTTAGTAAGGCCAAATTGCATTTAATTGCATTTAGTTTTTGTTATTTTGGATAGTTTGGCTTTTCCCACTTTTTTAGGTGTTGCCTTTTTTCTTTTTTCTTTTTTTCCAATGAAAGACTATTGATCATAGGTGGCTAACGTAACTTTGGTGAGTTAAAAAGCATGGCCTTGTGGATGCTATGAATTATTTGTTGTTGTTGCCCTGTTGTTATGCTGACTGTGGCTCCAGCCATGCTCATTGTTGTGTTCTTTCACCTCTATAGCAGCTTTGCTGCTATGATTCCTTTTTATAGCAGCTTTGTGGTTTGCTGTTGTCTATAGCCTCGGCCCAAGCCCAGACCAACCAATAAACATGATAAACATGAGAAGAAAATAGCTACCAGTGAGTAAATAAAGTAGATCAAACAAAACTATATAGGGAAAAACACTTACCATACTTGGTTGATGGCCACCGGAAAGCACGGATACCATCAAATACTCAATCTGGTGAATAATTGTAACTTCATTAGCCTTAGAGTGTTTAAAAAATCTACCACTTCACATTTTTTTTTTTTTTTACTTCTTGTTTTGTTGTTGGTTAGCTCTCTTTTGCTATTGCTCTATGGACTGGTGGTTGCTCCTAGTTAGTGTGTGTGTGTGTGTGTGTGTTGTGCTTCATGTGTGTTATGTGGATAGGGATTGTGGAGTTACTCCTATAGCCTAGCTGTTGTGTTTCACAGTTGATTACTGCTACATCTAATTGTGTATGTGAACAAAATTTAGGTTATCTAACTTATGAAAAAAATGATTTGATTTTGCAAGATCAGTTTGATCACCAAGGAAATCACAGTGATGTAGCAAAGGCTTTAGATACACAATTTGGTCGGTGATTGAGTGGCTTCACCTATAGGTTGCACAAAAAATACAAGCAACTTAAGAATGCAAGAAGGGAGAAGTACGTAAGAAGCCACCCACATGCAAGTGTTACTCTTAATCAGTGGACATCTCTAATTGACAAAAAGTGGAATAATAAAGAATTCAAGGTAAAAATTTTTATGTTAATTGCCAAAAATTAAGTTTCTTCTTACTAATATTAAGTTTTCTTATTTTTATTGGTGTTTCAATCGTGTAGGAACAATCACTAACTAATGTGAATAATAGGATGTAAATGAAAACAAAACATCGATGTGGATCAAAATCAATCCCGATCAGGGTGTACAGCTCGATGCATTCTACTAATTTTTTTTATTGGGTTAATAGGCTTTGTTATTTAAATATTTGAAATTACATTAAAAAAACAAATGAATCAGATAATTGCAAATGGAAAAGTGCCCGATTTGCAAAATTTTACAAGTCCATCCACTATAATTCGGACACGCATGAATGGATTTCGTCGAAGAGCCAAGTTAATTATGTATGTACAAGGCAATGCATATTAATTTTGATAAAATTATTTATTTTGCTTTGTAGGGTAGAATAACTAATAATTGTTTGATTTATTTCAAATTAATAAGACAGCATGATACAGACGTAAGCAGAACACCTCTCGCAGGCTGATGCGATCCCCTTGACCCCAAAGGGGTTGTCGATCAAGGTGCTTATGCCAAGGGAAGGTTATGTGAAAGGACTCGACATGAGGCTTTCTTCTTCTATGAAGACTACTATTGCCCCTGCTAAAAATAGTGACTATGTTCAATGCCTTGAGATGCAAATAGCACAACAAAATAAAAAAATTGCAAGGTTTCAAAAGGCGAAGAAAAAACAAAGCAAGAAGATACAAAGTATCATAAATTGTTTAAGGCAGAAAGGTATCACAGGAAATTTTGAGAGTGGGGAAA